TTGGAGGTTTCATTTTAGCCGCACTTGAACAACACATTTCCTGGTTATCTCGCAGCTTGTCCAAACACTCAGTAAGGGCTGATTTGGGAAGTCGCGCTTGTCCACATTTGATCCCAAAGATACGCCGTAGTAAGGCAAGTTGCCCAGGTCGGACGACACAAGAACGTCAAAGTTGACGGGCCGAAGCTCCTCATATTTCCTCGGCGCGATGAGTCCATTTCACTCCACTCATCAAGCAGAACTAACTAATGATCCATTATTGCTGATGTTTGACTCAGTTCAGTGCCATCCAAGAGCAATTTTGAGAAGCGTTGTTTGACAGGCCTACTCTGTGTAATTAGCCTGCCATTTAGTCATATATCATTTCATCGCTAAATTCACCATCCACATATTTGATCACCGCCACCATATAGTCTGGGAATTTCCCCTTCAAAAACTGCCAGGTGCTGGATTCCCAGATAGGTAGGTATTTAATAGTATTATGTGCGCTTCTCAAAATGGAACCGAGTTCATTTTGTAAAGTTCTGGATTAGGAGCGATTGCACTGCACCTGTTCATTTACTTTTGTGACAATTAATTTAATCTCACCATTTTTGATCGTCTGCTTTTAACGCAGTCGCAATACAACCCACATTTGCGATACTTGATTCTGTATTTTAACCCACATTCACTGTATTTACTGAATCACTGGTACCCATAAATGCTCTTGATGATGACGAATGTGCCATCTAACTATACTGGTTCTCCGAAAGGGCTAATTCGTGCTTTGCATGAGAGGAATCCATTGTTCTAGACAACCTAGGTATGGAGAGCTGTTTCACCATTGCATAGGCAGTAAACTAACTACCCTGTGTGAATTCGCTCGCCGTACTTACTTAGTCTACTTTAAATGGCTGATCTGCATGGTGACATTCCAAATGGGACGACAGCATCACCAAGTTGCTTGTTTTCGTTGTTGCACAGAGTGCGGCCAGTCGACTGGTTTGGGATTGGACTGCTGTGAACAAGTAAAATTGGAGACCTACCTACACCAACTTAATGAAATGGAGACTACAATAACACAAGGTTGCGAAGAGTACTCTTTTCGATAAATCTCCTCAGGCATTTACAATTATAAAATGGAAAAGCACAAAGCAAACGGCTGATGAAGCCAAAGTGGTGGGAATAGTGGAATCAAGACAAACAGAAACTCCAAAGTATTGATCAGTAAAATCCGTTAACAACACATGTGACAAAGCACGTGTTAGTTGATCGGCGGGATGCCAAGTGCATCATCCGACCACCGGAGGCGCCTGGAGTGGTAAAAATTAGCGAGCTAACTGGGGCCAGGGTAGAAGAAGCCCTTGCAGCAAGGCCTTCTGCTTACATAATTCCGGTTGCAATATTCTAATCGCAATCGCTTCAGCCGTCCGTAAGATTTGCTTTCTAAGCCGTTTAGTGTACCGTGGTTTTACTACATTAAGTATTTGGAAGGGATCAGCGGTCCTAACTCGGTGTCCGCTTTCCACCAGATGTTCCAGGATGGAACTGTTGGTGCGACTGACGATGCCTTTCCCCAAAGCTGCTGGGCAGTGCTCCGCAATGCGTTTAGACAGACGCCTGGTTGTGTGTCCCACGTACCTCGCACCACAGGCGCAGGTACACTGATATAAAATGTCAGATTGGGACTGAACCGGAAGTCTATCTTTAATGCACTTACCACCCTGCTAGTGAAGAGTAAGTGGTAAATGTTGCTGGTTAGGTTGCGATCGCAAGCACCTATTCGGGCGCAACTGTAGTTGCTGTGATGGGAGCGTCATGTCAGAGTGAACGGATGAACCAAACAGGCGAGCCAGAAAACCAATCAGGGACGTACGCAACGGATTTGACCACTGGACCCGTATTGGCAGACATTCGTGTGTGTTACTCATTCTTTTGTGTAACGGGGTCAAAAGAAGAACTTCATAACCTCAGTAGGGTCGTTATTGATGGAAGTGAACGGGCAACGTACATAGAGGGGTTTGGCCTGCTAAACATACTGTAATTTTCCCCGACTTGACTTTGTCGAATAAACTGTTGTCACTGAAGGGCTGAGTTCTGCGACATGGTCTCAGCGAAAGCCAAGACGAATACCAACGGTGGCACTCAGATGTTGATTGAATCATCAGCGACTATTCAAACGCCTGCTCAAAGAAACAATTATGTACGGTACTTCACGAGTAATTGGCGTCTATGGAGGTTTAAGTGCATGGATTTTTGCACACTGGTGTGTTTGGACAAGCAGCAGATTGCGTAGCGTTTGACCACTACTTGACACACAGTCGAGGATGACGCGCCGTGTGCTAGTGACATAATACTACGACTAAGACAGTGATCTTAATGATTTAGAAACAGTCACTAAAGGTTTGGAGGATTTTGCGAGGGCCAACTCAGCGAGAACTATCAGCGCTCTCCTTCCTTTTCGCGAAGTGGAGGCGCAAATGAATACGTCGACGCGTAAGCCAATGAGTTGATGATTTTAGCTAGTTCATGCAATTTCTGTAAATGTATGGGTGACAGTCTCATACGGGACCAGACAGTTTTAAGAACCAGTGAAGAAAGTACGACAAAGTGGCTTTTGTAGCAACGCTCCAGCAGTGCATTGATTTCTGCAACAGGGAGTCCTCGACCGCGTGGCATTACCAAGAATTGAAACTCGCGACTGACTCAGAGTCCTGTACCATTTCCGTGGTCAAACCCAACAAGGCCAAAAACGTGAGACCAGAGAGCTGCAACATTTGTGCTGTGCGACAACTGAGCAGCCCCGAACTGGGTCCTGCGTGGGGATTGGAATGTGCCAAATGTCGAAAAAGGTACCATTTTCTTAATGGTATCAATCAGCCAATGGGAGTGTGCTCGTTCATGCCAAGTTACTCGCAAATGCGCAACATTTAATTGGCAAAGTATATTGGTAGGCTTCACAAAAATGTGTGTACGTATATCTTTTTATCGAAGGCAAAGCCATATGATTCCAACCAGACACCAGTGCTATTGTCCAAATTTTAAGCAGAAAGCACAGTCCCGTGGTACGCACCTGGTCCGAGAAAGATTGCCTGCTTATGTGGAATGGCTGCAGACTTCAACCGGAAAGCTCAGCTACAATCGAAATGGTTAGCGTAGGAGACGGAGCCTCACACCGGCTGGGATTCATGTTCGTGGAGGAGGAGCTCACGCAGCTTCTCGGAATTGATCCGTTGCAATCTCTCGGTTTTGTTATTTTTAATCATGAGCGTTTCTTGCAAGTTGAGAGACCAGGATTAGTGACCATTACCGGTCTGTGTTTAGCCCTGGTTTGGGAAATGTTGAGGGCACCGCTCACTTCCCCTTAGATCCTTTGGTATGACCGACTTCGCTGCCGGCTAGGAGAGTTCTATTTTCCCTGCGTGACAGGATCTCCGATGAATTGTGCAAATTAGTGAGGATATGATTGCCAAAGTTAACGAGCTAATCGATTGGGTCAGTCAGATCGGAATCATTAGGAATAAGACAGCCAACATGTATTTATGAATTGGCCGGAAATCGTTGAACGAGGCCGTGCGTAGAGAGCACTCCCGAACTTAGAAGACATTTTACTGTGTTGGTTCAAGACCAAATATTTCACGTAGACCTGTCTTTTGCATTCTGACACGTGGTTCTAGACGAAGAGTCCAGTATTGTTACAACCTTTGCTACCCTGTTCGGGTGTTATCGTTTGCTCAATATAATAAGCGCGAGAAGATTTTCGCCGCCGTTTCTTGATGCGCTATGTGTAAAAAATTTGTAGTTTAAAGTTGAGAAAGTTGAGCATAGTTTAGAAAGGGTTGTTGATTATCCATGGGCTATTTATCCTAAGTATACGTGTCTATCCAGGGAACAATTAGAGCAATATAGGGAGTTATCACCCCCTAACGATATGCAGGGAATCTGCCGTTTAAATAGTATGGTGGATTATCTGAGTCATGTAATGCCAGGACTCGCTGATACCATGATGCCGATCCGGAAGCTATCACATTTAGGAGTAAAGTGAATTTGGAAGTTCAGGAAACCGCATTTGCGGCTGTCAAGCGATTTATCCGCAACGCGCCTTTACTTGGCTATTAGGATCCAGCACTTTTTCTGGAGCTACAGTAAATAGTAGCCAGGACGGAGTGGGTGTTACACCCCTACAGTGCAGGAAACATTCGGATTTCTGCTGTCGAGCACTCACAATGACTGAGCAGAGTTGTGCACAGACTGAGAAGGAGATGCTTACAGTAGTCTATGCTATGGAGCGTTTCAACAAGTACACTGTCGGAAGAAATACACTTGGGTTAACCGACCGTAAAACGCTTGTATCGATACTAAGTAAACCGCCGTAAAACGTGTCTCGCCCTCTTCAGCGTATTCTTCTCCGACTTCGGAAATACGGAATCGATTTCTTGCGCACGCCTGCACACAGATGTTTATAGTGCCTACGCTATCAAGAGCTCATCTGCAGGTAACCGAGTATCATCTGGAAGAGATCAAAATGTTAACCTAGTACTACACCTAGCAGTAACGGAAAAGCGTCTGAAAGAAATAAGGCGCCACACAGAGGAAGATGCCAAGTTTCCGGCTTCGCAATATGTTATTCTACATGAGTGACCGAGAACAAAATAGCGGCCATCAAAAAACTAATGTTCTGTTTCAGTTTTCGTAGGAAACTATGTGATAGTTTGCTTTACAAGGGAAACCGTATTTTGATCCTGTTAACGTACCGAAGAGAAAAACTAAAACACGCTCATCGCGCTCACCTGGATGCCAACTATACTAATAACCGAGTAAGAGAATTAATGTTCTGTTCAAGAGTGACAGGTCAAGTTAGGGATAATGTTTCGAAATTTGGCAAACGAAGGAAGCCATTGTGCTAAATGATGTCCCTGAACGACCGTGGCAGAAAGTGGCGGTGGGTACATTCTGCGACAGCGTGAAAGATTTCTCACGGTCAATTACTATAGTGATTATTTCGAAAGCGATCTACTCACCACTGCGATCCTAGAAGCGGTTATCCGCAAACCCAGCTGTCAATTCGCGCGGCACTGTATACTGGAGGTGCTGGCCTCCGATAATGTACCCAGTTTACCAGCGCTACTTTCTAGGTCTTCGCAACCAAGTGGGAATTCAAGCATCAACAATCCAGACCATAACAGCGTCAATCGAATGGAAAGATGAAGTCTGCAATAGAGTTGACCAAACGATTGTTATCAAAGGCTAGATCTACCGGTGAAGACACATGCCTTAAGCTACTGCCGAATCGCAACAGTCCTTCAAGGGATATGGGTCTGAGCCCAGTGCAGCGTAAATACAGACAAAGGACTATACCTTTTCTCAGCCAATTAAATCAATAGCGCTTACAATGTCCACCTCGAAGGAATCATGCTACTTTATGTATCTCTCAAATAGTCCTTAACGCTTTCACGTTGCAGCCAATAGGGGCAAACAGACCTAAAATTACCTATTACTCATTGAGTGAGCCATCACGAATAGGCAGATATTAAAACAGCTGGGTACACATAACCGGATGCAAACGACTGCTTTGAGTTTAGTCACTCAATAGACCGTAGCGTTTATGGGCGTTCTTGCCCACTGAATGCAAGTTGAAAGCGTTAAGAACCAGCTTGAGATCTAGGGAAGAATCTGAAAGCGAACAGGTATATCACTATGACGCCCGGCACTGACACACTTTGGCGCCCAGTTTCGCCTAAGCATGAGAGACTGCAGAGTAGTCTGAGAAGATGAATGATCACTCATAGAGCTAATACGACCGCCTCGTGCACAGTGAGTAGGGAAGTGTGGGTGCAACCAGTACCTGAAGGTCAATGGCAGTGGAAGGAATGCGTAGTGCATGCGAATGATTGTTGCAAGGTCAGACGAAGTGAATATTGGAGGGAAAGCGCTCTGTAGAATGGAGTGCAGTAGTGAGGACGCTGGGAACAACAATGCTGAGTAGCTGGGGAGCTCCCAATGGCGTGGGGCAATTACATCGCACAAACAGTAAAGACGAGACGGGGTGGAAAAGTGTACAAAGTGCGTAGCGATATGGAGGCGCCAGGATTAAAAAGAAGCAGTAGTATCAAAAGATTAGTGAATAGACATGGAGCCAACAACAGCCGCAGAGATTAGCGAACAATGAGGCACATTCGCCGCGCCATATACATTGTGACACGGTAGTTGAAGGTACGTAAAACACGTCAGCAACTATGATGCGGGAAGTGCTGCAGAACGCACTCATTCAGGGACAAACGTTTATTCCGCAAAGTCAAGTCGGATAAAAATTCTAGCATGTTTGGCAAGCCAAACTCCTCGATATATATTTCACGTTCAGGTCCATAACGCACGACCATTCTGAGTCGATGAGGGCCCATCTTTGCTCCAGTTAAACAAACGGTGAATCACTCACACGAATATCGGCCAATCCGAGTCCAGTAATCGAATCAGTCACACCCGCCTCCCATTGGCTGTCTGGCTCGCTCGGTTGGTCCATCTACTCACTCGGATCTGATACTACCATCACATCCTCCCTTCGTTCGTGTTTTTGCGCCTTCATATTGTTATCCACCTCGTACGCCTTATCACTCCGCGTCGTATTCGCTGAATTTGAGGCCGTGGTCTCCTTGTCCCACGCCATCTGGAACTCCACTCCCAATCCACATTGTTGTCTCCGGTGTCGCTTCAAATGTACTCGATTTCTTCTGAACGTTGTTCTTCCAACGTTTATTTCGTATGATCTGGCATCGACCCTCGCAGTCACCACAACTTTCTTCCACCGCTCTTGACAATCGAGTAGTGGTTGAATCCACACCGCCTCCCCACTATTAGCTCAGTTAGTATCCGTGTACCGTGGTCATAGTACCGTTTCTGAGTCGCCATTCGTCGTCTCAGATTGTTCTGTAATCGATCGTGCTGTGGCGAAACTGGGAGCAAAAGTGTGGCAGATGCCGGTATCAGAGGACTAGTTCTTCGGTTGTAGAGGCGCCGCACTGGACTCAAGTCGATATTCGTTGAAGGAGCGTAGCGCTTCTCCAATAGCATGAGGTACGGGTCCTAGCCAGTTGTTCTAGCCTTTGATAACCGTCGCCTGGCCAGCTTCACTGCAGACTCTGCCTTCCATTCGATGGACTGTGATATTGGCTGATTTGCTGGTGTACGAATTCCCACTTAGTTGGGTTGGTCTGGAAAGCAGCGCTGGTAAACTGAGTCACCTTGTCGGAGACCATCTCCTCCGGTATAAGGTGCCGCGCGAACTGACATCTGAGCTTGTCGATTACTGTCTCTGTGATCGTAGTGATGATTAGATCGACTTCAAAATATTCACTACTGTGATCCACCGTGAGTCAGTAATCATTCCCGTTATCACTTAATAGATCCACCTTGTAGGACTAGTTATTACTAATCCGAGGCGGTGCGCGGAAGTAAGCGCGGATATCGGAAGGCAATGGGAGTCGGACACAGCGGATTGTATTCGATAGGCTACAATAAGAAGCGGACGGATGAAGCGAGGCGAGAGCGTATACGTGAGCGCGGAACTTACAAGGCAGTTGTGTGTCGAGCCGGTTGTAAGATTAAAGCAAGAAGGAGTAATGTACAATCGGTCAACAATTAAATTGTACATGAAAGATAGCAGTTATCTTTTAGTGCGCTACAGAGCTCCCCCTAGAAGGCTGAAGATAGAAAGCCTTCGAAATCGAAAAGGACTGTTGAAACGAGGTTCGTAAGGCAAAATCGTGCCGGGCAAAATTGAGCGTGCGTTCGTGTCAAGTGGGGGTTCGTCGGAAATCGGAGTCCGCTGTGTCGTTTTTGGTTTGTTATTTATTGATTGCGGGCAGGGTGCATTTCGGTGAGCAATTGGAGCGGGCTTGTCGGGTTACTAATAAAACTGGCTAGCCCAGAAAAAGGCCGACAGGACCTCAACCTCCGCTGCTGCCAAACGGTGCGCTTGGGATTGGTCTCTCCCCCCAGCCGCACCCCGCCCCGCGCCAAAACGACCCTCGTCCCATGAAGAAACGACCATGGTCCCACGGAGAAGCGACCCTCGTCTCGCGGAGAAGCGATCCTCGTCCCGCGGAGAAGCGACGCTCGTCCCGCGGAGAAACGACCAGTGTTCGCATCAGGGTCCTCGAAAACATTTCTCGTGTGGGCCAGTCGATCGAAGGGGAGAGTTGGTGCACGTAAAGGTAAGAAGATAGAAAACACGCGCAGAAAACGCAAAAGGAACAAAAGAATGATCTGCGTGTTTAAATATTTTTGGGTTTTTGAATATTTTTTTCGAAAAGGTGTTTCGGAGGTTTTTTGATATTTTTATTTGTTTTCTAAACGTTACTCGACCAAAATGGGGCAAATATATACAATATCTACAAAGCTAAAAATATTTACACTGTACATAGTCGGAGAAGCGAACGGGCTTACGCACCTCCCGACCACGGCGATTGGTCGTGGGAGGCGGTGGACTAGGTTCGGGAGATGTCGGGACGGCTGAAGCTTGTAGACCGTGATCGTGGTCTGGTTGGACTTCATTAGCATGCGGAATACTGGTGCGGTGAGTTGTGACGTCGCACGAGGCACTACTAGACGAAGTAGGCGAGGAAGTTTCTTCCATAAATGCGGGTTTCAGACGGTCGATGGTGACGACTTCGCGTCGACCACCGCGGTCAATAGTGTACGCCTTATTCGCACGATGTAGCACCTTGAAAGGTCCTATGTACGGCGACTGAAGGGGCTGTCGAACGCCGTCTGCGCGAAGAAGGACGTGCGAACACGTAGACAGCTTCTCGGGCACGTACACTGGTTTCTTCTGCGATCAAGGAGCGGGTGGAAGTAGCTCACGCATCTGGTGAGCCAATCGATCAGTGTAACTTCCGTAGTCAAAAGTGGAAGTACAAGGGGCTGGTGCTACCAGCTGTCCGGGCAACCGCAGCGTGCAACCGTAAACTAGCTGCGTTGGTGTGGCGTCGAAATCGGTTTTAACCGTGTTTCTTAAGCCTAGGAGGACGAGGGGCAGCGTTTCAGACCATGCAGGATCTGCGTGCGTACGTAGCGCTGCCTTCAGCTGGCGGTGAAAACGCTCCACCATACCGTTAGCGACCGGATGATACGCTGTCGTCTGAATGTGGCGACAGCCTAAATCCTTAAGCAACATGGCAAATGTCGACGAGAAATGTGACCCTCGATCGGTGGTCACGGTGGCGGGACAGCCGTATTGAGCTACCCAGCGCACCATAAAAGCTTTCTCTACAGTTTCCGAGGAGCAATTTGGGATAGGGACGGCCTCAGGCCATCTAGTAAATCGATCGATGCAGGTCAGTAGATATACAGGGCCTTTGGAAGGCGGCAGAGGACCTACGAGATCGACGTGCAAGTGATGAAAACGTGCGTCTGGCGTGGGAAACGTGCCTAATGGGCTTCTCGTGTGCTTATGCACCTTCGCGCGTTGACACGGAAGGCAAGCAGCTGCCCAGGTACGGACGTCCCGATTAATATTGCGCCAAACGAATCGTGCGGTTACGAGTTTAACCGATGCACGAACGCCTGGATGAGACAAGCCGTGCAACGTGTTGAACACGGTCTGCCGAAACTCGCGTGGGACGACTGGGCGCGGCGTGCCCAGAGATAAATAGCAGAGTATCGTTCCGTCTGATGATGTCAGACGAACGGGTCGTATATCCAATGAGGGAGACCTGCGTAGTAGTTCAACCTCAGGGTCATTGAGTTGCGCTGTGGCCATGGCTGCCAAGTCGATAGCAGTGCCGGCGTCAGCGGAGATAGCTTGGATACGAGAAAGTGCATCAGCGACGGCGTTGTGCACACCTGAGACATGTCGTATATCGGTCGTAAACTGAGCGATATAGTCAAGGTGGCGCGACTCTCTAGGAGAGTATCGGTCGGTAGTCGAGCCGAGCACGTAAATCAGGGGTTTGTGGTCGGTGAACACGACAAAGGAGCGGCCTTCTAGGACGTGTCGAAAGTGACGTATCGCTAGATACACGGCTAGTAGTTCTCTACCGAACGTGCTGTAGCGAGATTCGGGAGGTTGTAGACGTTTGGAGAAAAACGCTAAGGGTTGCCACGTGTCGGCTACGCGTTGCTGCAAAACAGCTCCGACTGCCACGTCCGAGGCGTCAGTACTGAGGAATAGTGGGGCGGCCGGATCGTGATGCGCTATTGAAGCTGTGTTGGCG